ATACATATATATATATATATATATATATATATATATATTGCTGTATACGATTATTACCTCCAAATAGCACTCTCTTCAACCAAAGAATACCAATTTTGTAATAAAACATCGTCAATGAAAATAAATATCTCATGTTAAAGGTTTTGACAAATAGTTATGCATTGCTGATGATAAATATATGATGGCGATTTTATGTTATTTAACTTAGTTCTCTAAGCATACAATACATTATAACAGTAAAACAAACCTAGATGATTGGGTCATAAATACATTAAAAGAGAGAGGTAAACCAAAAACAGAACTGAATCTACTATCAAGTGGTTTTCCTTACAAAACCACACAATAAAAAGAATATCACTAGATGCAAATAGCTACAAAAAACAAGATATTTTTTTTTATCTCATGGGATTATAAGTTTAAAAGAAAACATTTATTTACCTTAGTGCCATTATCAACAGCACCTACAAATGATGTAAAGACGGTGGCACCAGCTACGCTGTCAGTTTGTAAAATGGGAGGTTGCATTCGACACTGTACAACAAATCGTTGATTGTCCTCTAACATCACCTCCTCCAATATGTATTCCCCAATACCATTATATGTATAGTCATAGCCATCGAGTGTGGTCATATGGGGGTCACCAAACATCCATCCTAATTATATAAACATGATTTATATGAAAATTATATACAATTAATACGACTATACAAAATAGAAACATATACATTGACATTATAGACACAAACATCTTATAAATTCGAATATTTCGAGCACTCCTGTGCTCTTCCTTACTCCTGTGCTCTTTCTCAGTGACAACACAAATGATTTAAAAAAAAATTGCAATCTATTGAAGAGAATAAACTATTTAAGCAGTGAATATAATAAACCGTTAATGATACACACGAGATCCACTACTTATCAGTACAAAAATGCAAAGTATACTAATGCTTCGGCATCTTGCGGGTTCATGTTATACAGGTCCGACTTCGGGAGGATCCAAAATAGGCTTGAGTATAACTCAGTGTGATCTCAATTGCTATTTATATTTTACATGGTAGTAAACGTTTATGGACCGTAACTGCTTACCAGGCGCAATATATTTTGCACCATACAGTTACGGCAAAAACTATAAACAAATTAAAGTAAAAAAAAAACAAACAAAAGCATAAAAGGCCAAAATGCTCAAAGAAGGAGTTTTCAGCCGTGTTTTGAATAACTGAAGGGACAGTGCGTTATTAAACTCTTCCATAAGATTAGCAGCAGTGGAAGAGCGAATGCCAGAAAGACATGTCAAAGTTTCAATATTTGGAACTTTAAGGTAGTGTTTTGAAGCGAAGCGAATGGAGTGAGTTTGTGTATATTGAGTACAGTATGAAGCTCAGATACATAATCTGGAGCAAGGTTGCTCGTCCTTCTAATGTATAAAGATAGTTTTGTAAGAAGTAGCCTATGGGTAATCACCAATGGCACCCCCTGTTTTGCCACTCCGTTTTTGCAACATATACAAGGTCTTATATAGAAATGAGAAAGGAAAAAAAAACAAATTAAATGGAAATGCAAAAAAAAAATTAAATTAAGAATCCACCCTTTATTACTTGTAAAAAATCATCTGACCTGTGTTCGGAGGAAGATAACCATCACAGGAGCCTGCTGGACGTTTTTCAGTAAACAGACCGCAGAAGTATGGATCCCGAGATGCGGTGCAGCAATAATACCTCGGAAAGAGATCTTCAACTAAATTGTAAAAAGAAAATAACGAATTGTAATATTAACCCTAAACTGTCTTACGGTAATGCTATAATTAGCCTAGGCCTACATATATATTTCAAAGCAGAGGAATCTGCAAGTGTGAAAAAAATTTGCCCCAAATGGTACACGAGCCCGTCTATGTCCAATTAAAGCCACTAATTTATATTCTTGTGCAGTTGGTCAGCATTAGTCTTTGATGCATCTGTCTCTTATACACATCTATATATATATAAATCATGATAATTTAGATATACTCTAAACCATCTTGCCGTAATGATATGATTATATATATTTTATGGACATAAAAAAAGAGGAATCTGAGAGTCAAATTAAACATAATTATTCATTTTCACCGTACATTTCATCTGTAGCAACAATCCTCGTACGCACAATTTAATATACACACACACAAATGTACTGATGATACCACTATAGCAACCAATAATTGCTACAACAGTTTGATTTAAAATATATTGTTGACAATAATATATTTAAATTGACAATTGACTTATAAAGTGTATAGGGCTTTCTATACACCCGAGGAAATCCTTATACTTGGGTTAGATTAATGCATTCAAAAACATTCTTCGGACTTTGCAGTCCTTCATGATATGTTTATGTATTAATCTAACCTTTGTATAATTATTTGCACTAGAGTATTATGCAATAATACTAATTGCTTATCAGGCCCTCAATGCTTATGCCATCACAAACAGAACTCGTACGCCTCAACGTCGTACGCCTGGGGTCCGGTGAGTTAAGGCCAATTCAGACAGCGTCGTACGACGCAGCCCGAAGTATTGATGATTCCTTCGGACCTGTGTGAGTTAAACTCAGGTTTGCTATGATTACAGGGGCGGATTTAAAGATGTCCGAAAGGAGAAGTCGAAAGGGGGACCGATCGATACTTAACACCACACCGTGAAATTGTTGTTTTCTAGACGCCCGGAAATAAGCTATGAGGCATTTTGGGCAGTCAATAATTTCTTTTTTGTTCTTTCTTGTTATTTTTTTTTTTACTTTCCAAAAGGGGGCTCGACCCTCTTTAATTCCGCCCCTGGATTATCTCAGCTAGCCCAGCTGGAAAAAATCAAGACCGTCAAAAATACAAAATCAAGATTCAATTAAATAGAAATCGCAACTTACAGATCCAATTTAAAAAGGCGAAGAAGCTTGTTGGCTGGTACCTTTCAACAAAACTGCTTTGCCAAAAACTTCCATAGCCCACAACGAGTGATTGATCTCCACGGTAGCAACATCTTATTCCGGCACCAGTTCGAGATGGTGTTGATGTTTGAAGACAGAATGGCAACCCTGTCAAAATAAGCAATTCAAGATTCAATATTATTTTAAGATTTTCATATTTACTGTTACATACAGGTTGTTTACGGTATTTCAATACAGGCAAGTACTATACATAGTTGTATAGAGTTGACGTTCTGGTCTAACAAAAAATGTCGTCAGTTGAAGGTCAGGGTATGGTCATACTATGCCTGTTGCATTGAGCAATGAGCTTTACTTTTGTATGGAGGAATTTTTCTGTGATCTATATAGGCCTCTCGCCCGCACCCCGCAAAAGAGGTTATTGCAATGAGATCCGTCTGTCGGTGTGTGTGTGTGTGTGTCTGTGTGTCTGTATGTGGTGTATTTGTCCTTCCGAGAGCATAACTCAAAAACTACTGGACCGAATAACCTTGCCACTTAAGGCCTATGCTAGGCCTCGTCTGGCGAATGGATTGGAGAAGTAAGATGCAGATTTTAGAATTTTTAAATATTACCCGGCCATATATCTCACAATCTGCTGATCCAAATTAATTTAATAAATTATGAAAAAAAAGTATGCTATAGATGCACAAATAATAAAAATAACAAAATACATTCGATTAATTTTACACTTAATATGTGCACCTTTACCGCTCGGATACATTTAACCTGATATGTACGGCTGGTAATATTACACTCCTATAATACAACAACCAGTAGATAGAGCACATCGACAAAGATGTGGCGCAACAAGGTGGGGGTGTGTAATCTCAGATTATCATGTTATAATTATGTACAATGTTGGTAACACTGTACAATGTTAATTACAAAAGATATATAAGCATAGATCTTACCAAATGATTTGTGGAAAATATGTCTATCTTATTGCCAATCTACACTTAAGGCCTGTTTACACTATGACGATAACGACTAACGATAAAAGCTAAATCGTGGAAAAACGATAAAATCGTTGTATTATAAAAGATGTTATCGTTTTTCCATGATTATGACGTCATTTGATAAGTGAAATTATCTTTTATCGTATACACCATAAATACCGAGTCGTGGTAGTGTGAAAACTTCTCTTTATTTTATTTTCTTTATGAACAATTGCTTTTTAGCTTTTTATTCTTATCGTCATAGTGTAAACATGCCTTAATGTGATCTTAATAAATGAAAATTTATATTACATAGGTTAAATAAAGAAGGTCACGGTATGGTCATACTATGCCTGTTGCATGGTCAGGGTTTGTAATCTCAGATTATCATGTTATGATTATGTACAATGTTGGTAACACTGTACAATGTTAATTACAAAAGATATATAAGCATAGATCTTACCAAATGATTTGTGGTAAATATGTCTATCTTATTGCCAATCTACACTTAAGGCCTGATTACACTATGACGATAACGACTAACGATAAAAGCTAAATCGTGGAAAAACGATAAAATCGTTGTATTATAAAAGATTTTATCGTTTTCCCATGATTATGACGTCATTTGATAAGTGAAATTGTCTTTTATCGTATACACCATAAATCGTCATCGAGTCGTGGCAGTGTGAAAACTTCTTTTCTTTATTTTATTCTCTTCATGAACAATTGCTTTTTAGCTTTTCATTTTTATCGTCATAGTGTAAACATGCCTTAATGTGATCTTAATAAATGAAAATTTATATTACATAGGTTAAATAATTAGTTATAAGAGCGATGTATATAGACTAGAACACAATGTTTATTTGATATGTTGGTTCAAGCCTCCTCTCTAATTTTATTTTTGAATTATTCATTTGCAAGTCACATGACTCCTTCATGATATCGTTTGTTTTGTTTAAAGCATTACATGATATATAAGGGCCTACAATGCAACAAACAAATCTGACATTGCGGATATAATAATACCATCTAAGTTGTTAATATCCGTCAAAAGACTCTCATCTAATGGACTGGAGCTGACAGTTGTTGTTCTTCTTGCCCTTTGCCTCCCACGGACTCCATTTCCAAAACCCCCATCGCTTCTCCCTTGACCGAAGGCGCAAGGACAAGTTCCTAATCGATGGTCCCATTCACTTGGATCGGGCTCTGTTGAATACCAATTGAGGCACAATTGTCTGGTGTTTACTGTCCATGGATAATTTCTCTCAACACGATATATCCACCTTGCCTTTAAGCCTGAGTTTCCATCTATCTGATCAGGACGATACCTTGATAACACGTTTGGAAAATATGACGAAATTAACTGTGCGTTGACATTGTCAATAGTGCTTCTAAATCTAGCATTGTAACCGATGATAACATCCATTGGATCTAATACAGCTGCATCCCAATTCATTTCGTTAATCTGATAGTTAAATAGAGTAAAGCCAAATGTACCATCCGTGACTAGTACAGCTTGGAAAGTATTTGTCTGAAAATAACAGAAAAAAATTAATTAAACTCTTGTATCTGTTCCTTTGCAACCAGTATCAATGGTCTTTTTAATTTTATTTCTAAAACCAGAAAATGTCAAAATTATAAAATATGTTCAAAACATAAAAGGTTAACTTTAAAGTTAAGCACATACGTTTGTAAATTTAATTCAAAGTAGTACTGTATAATAAAGTTTTCGCAAGCTTACGAAGTTGAAAACGATAACGAACACGGTACGGTTTTTAGACAATCCTTCCCTACAGTAGATATCTGTCACAACTTAGGCATTCATGCCTTTTACGTGGATCAATAATAATAATAATAATAATAATAATAAGGATCGCATTCAGCTCGTTCACAATATTGTTGACCTATCGTATTTGTTATCGTTTTCGTACGGTTGCGAAATCTCCCTACTCTTATGAAGTATATTTAAAGAAGGAATTGTTTCCCATAGAATAAATTTCATGAAGATGTTTGTGGCAGGATTGTATGGTATTGCATTACATCATGGTTACCACAAATGTACAGAATAAAGAGATTCGACACACTGCTTTTAATTCACCGATTTCAGATTTAGAATAACACTTTAGAAACTGGAAAATATAGAAAAAAAAACTTCACATATAATTATTAAAACAACACAATAGTTCGTATCTTCATCGCAGGAAAAGCCTTATATCTATGAAGTAAAATCGGAATATCTTCTGTGTTTTGTTAACTAGTGACGGCGGCTCTGTTGAGGTGCTTGTTTACCTGTTCTGTCTTTCTGTTTTTTGTTTTGTTTTTTTGTTTGTTTTTTTTTTTTTGGTGATTCTGTTAAGGTTGAATAAAATAAAAATAAAATAAATTCCACAACTTTTCCCTTATTTTTCTTTCCCTGGTAAAAATGATTGTCTTGAGCAATACGATAGCCAATGACGGTAGATTCTATCATTAGTTAACGATGCTTATTATAAATATTTTGCAATTAAAATTTAGATTAATTATAGCAAAATGAGTTAAAGTCATGTTTTTTTTATATAAATGATTTTTTTTCTCTGGACCTAGTGAATGGGAGATTCGAAACCCACCCCTACTTCGTCCTGCAGCCCTCGCTTAGTGAGTAGCGCCTAAATATTTTCGCCATATAGAAGTACTGACATGCTTTTTTTCGACAAATAAATAATATTCAGATCATTCACTATCGGTAAAATGTGCACAGAATGAAATTGAAAAAACATTATTTAAAACCAAAAATGATTACCACTCATTTGGTTTATAAAGTTAAATTTTCATTGGTTATATCAGGGAGCAAATGGTTAAATGAATTATACGTACTTGGTTCTGGTAACTAAAGGCAGGTACTTGTGGAAGTCTATACCAAGTAATAAGTAACATCCATTCAGCCTGAAATTCTGTTTTATCAAAACTATTTTCTTCTGACACTGGCGAATTCCTAATTTGGTCTGTAACAGTTTGCAGCATTTCTTCTGTGCCAGCCGATGGATTTTCCTTACTATACACCTACACAAGAACGACATTAGTAAACTTTACTGAAACGAATATAATTACTATCGTTTAGATAATAATCCATATTAAAACAAGTTAATCTTAATCTTTCTTCTTATAAATCTTCTTCACATTTTGACAAAATCAATATCAGCAATTTTGTTCCTTCAGGCACTTTGAATTTTAAAAAGGGTAAATGTATCGCGTAACATAATCCACTTTACAGTGAAAATGTCTATGTCTTAAATTTTAATAAGAATTAAATAGCGCCAATTCCAAATCAATACTTAAAAGCGTTTAGTGTTATTACCGCACCTCTGGTCGTTGGATAGCATAAATCTGCAAACCAGCATAATTTAGACTAATTTTCAAAAATATGGACCCATTATTTGTGGAACCATCAGAAAAAATGTGTGGAACTGTCCCAACTGTCCCAAAAGCTGGCTAGCCGGCTAGCCGGCATTGGGTACAGTCAATGCCACAACCCATTTATACTCCTGGGTACAGACACAAACGCAGACAAAGTATCTTGCCTAAAGACACAAGTGACTTGCACAGCGAGATTTAATAACCTCACCGCTTCTATTTTACAAATTTAAGTTCTGCCACTAGGCTACTCTATAGCTTATACACGTCTACTCGATGCACCTTTATGCAATCAGAGCTATGGCAAATTATAGTATAAATATCAATGTTTATGTAAATTATTAAAACATTAAACATTGAAATACATTAGGCCTAGTTCGATTTGTGAAAATGCCTCGCAAATTGCGTTTTATGGTATAACCGAGTTCAGTCACAATAAAAATATTTATTTATAATCTGAAAATATTATGGACACCATTTAGTATATTCATAACCCTTCAACAGTAATCATTTAATATGCCCAACGTATCATGTGGTAAAAGAAAATGCAAGTCTCCTATATACATAGGCGGATCTACTTTGGGAACACATATAATCTTAAATACGGATTCAATGCAATTTTCTAAAACATCATTCTTGGAACGTAACAGGAGATGTGTATTAACCATTAGTTTTCACTTCCTTGTATTTACAAAGTAAATGTACTAACAGCACTTGGCAAGGGCACTACAGTAGATCACATCATAGTCATTTCTTATAACGAAATAACAGATACTAGACCTATAAGACTCGTGTATAAATACATTTCTCAATTTACTTTTATCTATATGTATATATTAACTATGCTAAGGTCAAAATGTAAATAATGTTTTGTAATTTGATTCAGTGTATTATATCGTTAACAATGTAAACATATAAACACAAATAAAATACAATACGGATGAACCTACATAAAAAGAGAAAAATGAATATCAAGGTAATCCTTAATTGGAAAGAGAGGGAGTAAGGAATTTGAATTTAAAACAACGAATCGAAGTTGTTAAACATATCAAACCTGATAAAACACATCTCCTCCAAACTCTAAGGACATGTCAGCATCAGCCCAGAAAGGTGCAATTATCTGTTCAGAAGTGCTTGGCTGGAAGCCACCGATCACAGGATGAGGATACGAAAACTTTTCGGCATTGACACTTGACAATACGACCACTCCGTTATCTGTGAACTGGTATAAACACATTTTTTTCCTATTTTATTTATTTTTTGTTCTAATCACTAACTGGTTCGCTCTCTTTATTCTAATTCTTTCCCAGCGGTCTAGTAAAACACTAAATATCAAATATAACGTTGATGTCAAATATAATGTTAAGAGTAGAACCGGAGTAAAAAGGACTTTTCCTCTCATGAATTTCGCTTCCTGCTCAACAAATGTACTCGGCCTCGGGACCAAATTCTTAGAAAATTCAGTAAGTTTTTTAAGAATATATTTTTCTTTAAAATATCTATAAAAATTTTATGTCATACTTAGATAGCAGTAAGGCGATTATATACTTACATATATGTTATAATAGAATGTGCTTCCAAACGGAAAACCGGTAAGTGGCTCGATGTTTGGTGAAATGACGTCACGACCAAAACCCACTTCCTGCCTAAGGCTTGTGTCCCCATTTTCAACACCAAACGGCAATAACACGATTTCTAATAATTAATTAAAAATATTTAGGTAAGAGATATTTCTTTCTTTAAAAGTTACGTTATATCTCGAATAATTTAGAAAAGTACAAAATAACAGGTCTATTATAACACACAGATGAATCACATTCAGTTGGCTTAAGCTCTTTCTCTATAAGAATAAAAAGTGTAGCTGCGTTAGGCTGCTGTAGAACAATATGAACGAAATGACAGAAGCACATTTAAGACTGTATAAAATTTAATCTCTAGCTTTTGTCCACACACCGTGGACTTCATCAGCAGACTGTCTCATGATGAAGTCCACAGCGTAGACGAAACTAGGAATTATATTTTATACAAGTTAGTCTAAAACTTTTATATTTTGAGTGCATTTACGTGGTTTAAAATAATGTATTTCAGTTTTTACATCAACATACAGTAGTACTCCTCCTACCCCAATATTAAGCAAAATTAAAAATGATAAAATTACCTATACATATCTCTCCATCTCCTCGATATCCCTCATTACAGGAACAATTGTATGAGCCTATTGTGTTTGCGCATGATCCTGCAGGCAACGGCGCACATGTGTCCGTATCATTTGCGCACTCGTCGATATCTGAACAAGCAAATTAATAAAATTCGACTGTAGTTTAAATCAGGATTGTACATAAACTTTGACGATTAGGACAGAAAATGTATTTAGCAAAATGGGTAAGGGATGGTGCCAGGATTTGCCCAACAGCGGGTTCAAGGTCACCAACGGAGAAAGCAGGGGGAGATTCAAATACGAGAGCGTAAGTGGGTGTGTAGTCGGGCCTCGGTCAAATGCTTATTTAATCGATTTTAGTGTCTACTAATATGTAAAAAAAAGCATATAATTGTTCTTCTCTCCGAGTATTTTTCGCGCTCACGGGGGAGGGAATGGGGCAGCTTTCCCCGACAGAGAGCCTTTTCCCCTTTTCCCCACCACTGGCACCACCCTTAATCTGCTGCAAGTCACGTGTACATGGTACTAGCATATCATGTATGTGGTCCCTCTATGCTTTTGACATTGTGTTTCAATTATGAAATACAAGTCGATATTAAATGGTGGAAAATATAATCTTTGTTGAGGATAGGAAATATTATTTTGCTTGAATCTTTCATTGCCAGACTTCCCATTTTGACGCAGAGACGAGACATAAAAATCAAGCTCTAAAATTGGCATTTATAAATGCTTAAATTCCATGTAGTAAACAGTCTACAGTACTACTTTTCAAACAACAGATTTAAAAACTAAAAAAAGTCGTCTATAAGTACATCTACCTTTTAAAATTATTAACATTACACTGGAGTTAAAATAAATATAACTAAATTGCTGCCTCTTTTTTAAGTCAGATATGAAGACATAATGCTTAAAACTACGTAGGCATGATAAAAAAAAATCATGTGATCCGTAATTAAAAAAGTTAATCGACGTACGCTGTTTCTACGGCTCTACTTTTACGTTTTCTAAGAGGTCATGACATTTATGTGTGAAACCAATGATAGGCCTGCACTAAAAATCACAAACCTTCACATAAAATCCCATCGCCTTTATATCCAAAGTTACACTCGCATCTATATGAGCCCAGCTTGTTAATACAGGCAGCATTGACGGAACAACTGTCACTTTCTTCCATACATTCATTTATATCTGAAACCAAATTAGAATAAATGTAATTCTTCATTTGTCCTGTATTCGGTTGTCATTTTAAAATAGACTTAAAAGTGAGAATACATAAATTTACCTCTACACATGATTGTAGTTGTTGTGTACTGTCCATCCATACATACCGCAGTCACAATACTATTTACATCTGGTCTAAATCCACCTTCACAACTGAAAGTGATGTTTTCACCGTGAACAGTCGATCCTGATACATATCCATGCACAGGTGGAGTTGGCAAAATGCAGTTTTCTATAAACACATAAATACATCAGTAAACAATGTAATATATCACTCACATGTTTTATTCAATATGTAAGCATACGCATAATTATACATTACCTATTTAAATATAAATAATGATGATGATGACGGTGATGATGATTATGATGACAATGATGATGACAACAAAGAAAATTCAAACCATAAGCAATGTACGACGTCCTCACTGCATGCTTTCTAAGGGGTACTCATATTTAGCCATAAATATAGAATAGGCCTATAATCTAGTGCATAGAACAGAGTAAAATAATATAATGTAATTCGAAGACAACCGCTGCATCAACCGCGCTTCAACATACCATGGCAGGTTGGAATGTCCAAAAATGTTCCGTCAAAGCAGGTACTCGATTTGGATCCCTGCAAAGTGTATCCGTCGTTACAAACAAAGTCCACAGTCGTTCCGTTCCGATAGAATGTGTAGGCAAATGATTCGAGTAGATCACCATTTTCTGGTGCGTCGGGTACTGGACACTTTCCTATCAAACAAAAAATGAAGCTGTCCTTGTTATGGTGATAAAATCATCGCCTGCCAATCTTTATTGACAAAAACACGTGACATGCATAAATATGGCCATGATGACATCATGTCATGAGTCACCATCGGCACTTCATGACCAATATTTTTGTCAAAAAAAAATCTGATATTATTTCTCTGATCAATTTTGGTAACCGTGCATTTAAAATGAGAATTAAATGTGTAGAAGCCTCGATAAGTTATATACTTTTTTTTCTCTTTTGTTGGGTCGTCCCACTTTTATTCATAAGTTCGGCATACACAGTATAATTTGTAAAGATATGTTCAATATAGCTTCTTAAAATATCTTTAACATTTTTTTTTTTATTTTTTTTTATTTTTACTTTGACTTGAAATTTATGCACATCGGTCAAGGTGTACAATTACCATGCCATTTTTTTCTATTTGTTTTCTGTCATTTTAATAAAGGATATAATAAAAGGTCAATCTTTTGTTTAAGCCTATTTTTTTAAAGTTTGTTCGCTTGTTTTTATAAACACTACAGTGTATATACAATATTTATAGGCTACATTATTTTTTCGAAATAGTTTCCCTTCAGACTATAATATGGTGAAATTGTTTTCACCAAGTTTAACCAATATAATATTTTTTTATTTTGTTAAGGTCAATCATTGACCATTTTTTTTTTGCTTTTTCATTGTTAATTAAGAAATCACAGCTTATTAAACTCTTTAATTCCAATAAAAACATAACCCAAGGACATTGTTTCCCAAGTTATATACTTTATGATAGGTGCGCTGTGGGCTATTTATTGAATTAATCCTACTGATCCTTCCGCATCAAGGAACTAAGGGGGCAAACAAAAGTATGCATTATTGTCTGATTCATTGATATTCTGTTTTGTTCATATCATAGAAGATGTGTTGACCATATAATAACATAATGTAATGTAAAACTATACCACAAAAAATTACCTTCACAGAGTTCTGGAGATTCGTCATAGTTATCAAGACAATCGTACGGATACTCGTCGCAAGTGTATTCATCATATGTACATAGGCCAAATGGACATCTAAAGTATGAGGGCGGGCACGTGACTGGAATAAGATCAATTCGTAGAAGGTTAATACTGCTAAAATTTGTTGTGAAATGACATGTGACGACCAGACTGTTGTTTTTAATATTTTTTGAAATTCACTAGGCTAGCATGTAAAAAAAAAAAATATCGCTGCCGGCCACAAACTTGACGATCGTCATTCGACGCGATTGTGCAGAACGCAATGCGACGGCGCACGCGCAACGGATCATTTCAACGACGATCCATTCAGACTGCCACCGATAATCGGCAAACGGCGTCGCGTAATCTAGCGCTCACAATGGAGCGGAGTTGGATTCGTCGTGCGACGTTCGTACGACGCAGTGAGTGCCCGGGTTTAATGAACATACTGTAATATCAAATTATTTAACATATATTGCATGCTGAAAATTAGCTGAAATGCCGACTCAAAGTGCAGTGAAACGGATCACTATAAAAATATTAACAAGAGTTAAAAATTTTAAATAGCCTTTCGAGATCGTCTGAATAGTTACCTACAAGAAAGTTTATTATTTATGATCAAGTTTTGATCATTAAGTTTGATTTTGTCATGGAAATTTAAATAATGTTTAGTTAATAACTAATCGATTTCTTACCATCAAAATGTGTATTTACAATAATATTACTCACAAAAATAGTACATGCACCTTTAATTATGAGCTTTAATTTACATACGCTTCCTTAATCGTGTTAAGTTTTGCACATATATTTTTAGCACCTGTGTATAACCTATTTCTGGTACGATTATAGGTAAGGTCAATGTAAATAAATTACCATTGCATGTATCAGCTGACTCATCATAGAGGTTGTCACAATCGGGAAACCCATCACACAGAAATCCCTCATCGATACACATGTCTGATTCACCGCATATAACTTGACCATCAGGACAAGCTAAAACAAAAAAAAATCATCGAACATACAATTAACATATAATATACATGTGTACGTTTTGTTGTAGCAGCTTTTGTTTAGTTAATCAGTCACTCATTATGAGTCATATGGCTTTCAAAATAATAAGCCCGTACCGCCAAATAATTAAATATATAAAATGCTACAACCTTATAATTTGCTCAACCACAGGCCTAATGCGGAGAATATTGTACGCTGGCAACAATGGAACTTTCTGACGTGTCAATCAAATTTAACAACTGACCAATCAGAACAGGGCCTGGAATACGCGCCTGTCCTAGAAGCACACGTGTGTGCGTACGTATCATCATCGTCATTATCTTTAATATCAAAATAGTATTTTGAATAATAATCATTGAGTATTAAATAATAATTTGAACACAATATTATAATAACACATCATATCAACATACTATTTTGATCACTGTAATATTTTAGAATATAAGTATTATACTCTATCGGTATACTATAATGTACATAACTTACGATTTGGTGTTGTTAAGAGCGCTGTTGTTAGAACTTCTGTGGAAATAAAATAATGATCTATCAATTTATGTTATCATAATATCCTTATGATTAAGATTTACCATGATCACCATCATTATCACAATATAGTGCTTCACGTTAAAATAAAAAATATGAGCAGCATGGTGCTGTCCGATAGTCCGATAGCTGTCAGCTATTTTGAGTATTACGGAGTACTTCATATTGCAATAAATTACTGAATATTATTGTAGTCTCTGAAAACATCAGCAATAAAAGGCAGGTTTTAGAAATGGATCAGGTAAAAATAAATATACGTCTGGCCAAAAAGAATGATGTACATGTAAGCTAGGTCTAGTATTGCCTTATTACTAATGAGTGATATGTTCCATATTGAAATTGCATATAATGGGGTGTGATATTTTAGATTATCGTTTTAAAATTACTGGTAAAAATTGTTTAATGATAAAACAAGCCTGTTGTTTGTATTGCAACAATGTATGTTTGTATTGCGACAATGTTGTCGGAGGAAAAAAAACTGTTTACATAAATTAAGTTTGCTTTTTGTTTATCCTGTCGCCGACAAGTGTGCTGTCCTGTGTTTGTATTGCGACAATGTACGAATTGTCGATACAGACACAATACATATTATATATATATATATTGTATTGCATTGTGTCTGTATCGACAATTCGTACATTGTCGCAATACAAACACAGGACAGCACACTTGTCGGCGACAGGATAAACAAAAAACTTAATTTATGTAAACAGTTCCAATATTGTATTGCAATGCAATACAATTCATTTATAATATGAGGTCAGCAGAAATGTAATTGAAATAACAATAGCTTTATGTTCCCAATACTGTTTAATTATAGTCTTATGAATGTGCACGAAAAACGAAAAAAAAAAAAAGAAATCCCCATGGTTAAGGGTCAAAATTGACAAGATTGGTTTATACGAAGTAACACAGGCTGTAGGCCTTACCGATATTGACTCTAAGAATTTGGGGAGAAAATTCTGGTTTATTGCTCCAATTTCAAATTCCTCCGGAACAGAGGAGTAAAGTAGTAGACTTTAGACAACTTTAGGACAATAGAGCAATTTCATTAAAACGGACAATTTATTCATACATATACCAGCACAATTAAAATAAATTATTATTATTATAGTTAGAAAGGCGATGAAAGTTCCTTAATAAGTTGCTCAAAATGTGTCTCAATATATAAGTTGATTGAATTTTGTTCTTACTTTGAGACTGTTGTAGGAGTATTTATTGTGATACAATAGAAAAAAATAAGTGTCCCCTTAATATTTACCCATTTGGTACACTCAGAAAAGTGTCCCCATCCCCTTAATAGGGGTGTCCCCTTAATAGGGGTTGGCTGCAGTGTTAAAAGAACTTGATCCTTATCGATATAATTATATTTTTTTAATTTAATGATTTACGTTATGTTCCTCCATTGATTGAATAAATGTATATGAAATGAAAAAAATGCAAACAAATAAAAGAATGTTTATATATTTCATTGTACTCTTCATATTTCACAAAAATAAATAAATTTGAAAAGTAATAAATAATAACTTGCTGAATTTGTATAGTGCCTGTTAGAAAAAGTAGATAAAAAATGTATTGATAATAAACAATGGTATAAGATTTATGATATTATTGAGTATACAATACTACTATATACAATACTATATAACTTTGTTTTACCAACACATTTTACCGGTGTTTTTTTTTTTTTTTTAAGTATTTTCTTTACAAAATATTGGTCACTGTACTTCTTGAAATATATTTTTTGCACTTTTTAAGGGGCGCGGATTCAAACGGGGCGCTTATTTAAGTAGATAAGAATATAGATAAAATATATTTATAATGAACAATGGTACAGTATAAGATTTATGATGTAATGGATAATAATCTACGGTATGTTAAGGACTAATATTTAAGTGTATACAATTTTCTCCCCAATTTTATTAATAAATACTTTTTAAACTAACTTGTTGTTTGTATTGGGACTGTTGTAACGTCTGTAAAATTAAAACATTAATAAAATTAATATATGTTTCTATAATTACTCTATTTATTTATTTATTTCAACAATCTTTAATGAGGGTGGTCCATCCAGCCGAAGCTGATCATTAGCGACCCTCAATACACGAAGTAAAACGAAAGAAAAGAGCGAATTAAACTAATTAAATTACAGTAAAATAAATAACAACCTCTCAATTCAAAATTTACATAAATAATTAATTCAAAATTAAATAAAAAACTTAATATAAAAATTAAAATTAAATTACAATTAAAGATGTAAATGAAAGAGCAATATTGAAAAACAATAGGCAAAAGGGACATTAAAAAACCAAGGGAATAAAGTAGCCTAAATAAAATAATCAAATAAATTAATAGAAAATAGGCCAATGTATATGAGAACTATAAAACAAATCACTCTTAATTTAAAGAAAATAATCAATTTAAATTAATAAATAAAACTGAAAATAAATAATAAGGTAGAAATCAAAATATGAATTCTCAGTGCAAATTAAAAACAAAAATTCAAAGGCCAAAGAAACAGAATTACAGGAGAGAACGAAGGAGGTAACTTTTGAGGGACGATTTAAAGGAGGAGTAAGTAGAAGCATTGCGGATATTTAAGGGAAGAGAGTTAAAGAAAGAGGGGGCATTAAAGCTAAATGAAAGTTTGAAAATTTCAAAGTGGGGACTGGGGATGCAAATGCATACGATAGTAATGTTTGGTTGCAATTTTTAGTGTGCAATACTTATTATTTCATCCTAGATGTATTATTAATTGTTTTTTTTTTTAAACAATATTGTATTTGTTTTGAAGTAATGTACGTAAAAACAATCGCATTTATTATAGGCCTACTGGTTTCCTGTTCAATAATCACAAACTTACCTGTAAAGTAGATAATAAGGCTTTAAATACAGCAAATATATATATATATATGTATGTATATATGTATATATGTGTAAATATATATGTATATATGTGTATATATATGTATATATATATAGATATATATATAGATATATATGTATATATAATAAAGCATTAATAATGGAAAAAATGTTAGTTTTTGATGTAATTTATATAATCTATTTTAAAACAAATTAAATTTTGGTGTCTGCTTTTTCATTCATCAATACTTTTTAAACTAACCTGTTGTTTACATTGGGACTGTTGTAACATCTCTAAAATGATGTATACTGATAGTTACCGTACTCGCGCGAATAAGCGCCCGGGCGCTTAAAATATTTTTTAGCACTTTTTGAGGGGCGCTTATGAAAACAGAGTGGAAATCGAGGGGGCGCGTATGGAAATACCGTACTCGCGCGAATAAGCGCCCCGTTTGAATAACCGCCCCTCTCGAATAACCGCCCCTCTCGAATAACCGCCCCTCCTAACGTGAAAATTTCCTTAAGCGTCCCGTTTGAATAAGCGCCCCCTTTTTTTTAGCAAGTCAATAATCCAAACAATCCTGGGACTGGGGTTGTTGACATGATTTGAGCTGTAGAGTGGAAACACATGATGATTTATGATTAGGGCACCATTTAATTTGGATGGGGGTGGGGCTATATTTTTCTTTTTTTTTCCATTAAAAAAATTTAGGGAGAGGGGCCTTCAATCCACCACTGCTCAAAACATTCTTTATCCAAAATAGTCATAATCACGAAAAATGGGCATGTAAAACCAGATCACATCCTAAAAACAAATTTATGCTCTCCCACCTCATCAGTAGTCACTAAGACATACTCTGAGTCGGGTGTCGACTCGATGTAGCTTAATGTCTTACCCAGGAAGGGCGCAATCTACTCTGAGTTAGGTGTCGACTCGATGTAGTTTAATGTCTTACCCAGAAAGGGCGCAATCTGTTTTGAAAGGTGGAGGTGGGGTTGGGGGACATTCCGTGAGTCGACACCCACCTCAGACTCACCATGGTTGGGGGTGAGGTGCGAAAATTTGAGGAAATAGTACCTCTAGATGACCAGAAAATGACATTTTTTGTAAATTTCATCATCATCACACACCGTTATATAAAATGCCGTAGCCAGGATTTTCAAACAGTGCGGAACAATATCATTGTGGACCCACTTTACTCTTAAATTCAAATAACGTGGACTCATTTTCTTAAAAGTGGACCCATTTTATGCAAAAATATGAAAAATCTGTACCAATTTTCTTAAAAGTTGACCGATTTTACGCAAAATATGAGAAATCTGGACCCATTTTTCGAAAAAAGGACTCACTTTGTGCTAAAACAGCATAATTTAGACCTATTTTTTTGTGGACCCAATAGAAAAATTGTGTGGGACTGTCCAACTGTGCCAATAGCTACGGCATTATACATATACTCAAAATGAAGCGCCAACAGATTTCTCATGATCTTTTATCAGAGATTTTCGGCAACCATAGAAATCTTATAAACATTGTTTCGAGTACCGTATGTACTTATATACTTCAAAGCCGTGATTTGACAACCACCTCAGCCCCACCATGGTTGGGGCTCAGGTGCGAAAATTTGAGGAAATAGTACCTCTAGGTGGCCGGAAAGGACGCTTTTAAATAGTGAAGTTCGTCATCATCATATTACCATTATATAGTCAAAATGAAGCGCCAACAAATTTCTCATAATCTTTTATCTGGGAACTACTTAATATCCAAGACAACTTAGGCCTAACTATAGCTTACTAAGCTTTAACTATACTATAATAATTGTGATCAACAAATCACAACTTACTTTTTCGCCTTTAGCTCAATTTTCTTCACTTTTTAATATTATTAATGTTATCATCATAATTATTATTATTATTATTATTACTACTAATAGTACAGTAGTATTGAAATAAAACTTTGAGAGCTTGAAAAACGATAAAAACCAAACTGAACCATACACTATCACATTTCTGTATCTGAAAGACCTGGCCTAGTACGTATGGATTTAAGATTTTTTAAATCACGCTATGTGTTATTATAGTAGGCATGTGTAACGTGTGCTGATGCATATTTACAT